CTCATACCATACTGATCTTCACTTATAAGTGAGGTATAAGTGAAATATTCACTGATATGTAGCTCATCTTTACTTATAAGTGAAGTATTAACGAAATCTGTTCCTCACTTACACTTACTTTGACTTATAGTACACTTATAAGTAAATTTCAAAACTTATAAGTGACTTATAAATTGCTAATAAATGGATTATAAAACACTTATAAGTTTCTATTAGTTTCTATTAGTTTTTTCTGTAAGGGGAGGTGCACCTCAGTCAAAATATTCCAAACCAAAAATTCTTCGACAAGCAAAAAAATGAGTGGTTTGCGTGGGGGTGGGGGGGGGGGGAGGGGAGGGGGGTCCAAAGTCATTTCTATGTGCTTCAGTTTATATAATTAATAACTACATTTTGGGGGAGATATATCAGCACACGGAGATAGGGAATAGAACCCGAAATTTTTTTTTCTAGTATTATCAAGAAAAGACTCGGCACACTCCCCCTTTTTCTCGAACATGTTTTACTGTAATTTAGTATCAAAACTAGGGATATCAACGAGTACCCGGTTAACCGTACTCGATCGAACGTCCGAGTATCGAATACTAAAATCTGTACTCGGTTACTCGGATGTATATTTTTAAATATTTCTAAGCTTATTTATTAATGCATTAAAATATTGGTTTTACACGTAAAATAATCATTGCACTTGTATATACAGTAATTAGGATTTCCTGAGCCTCTAAATGACCGTTATCGCCTGTGGCAGTGTTTATATACAGTAATTACCGTGACCAAGCCAGGGATGGGGTCAATTACTTTAAGTAATTAATTAATTAAATTACAATTACTTTGACTTTTTCTTCAATTAAATTACAATTAAATTACAGGCTTTCTAAGACATGTAATTAATTAAATTACAATTACTTTACAAAAGTAATTAATTAAATTACAAATTACATTTCAATTTTTTTGGAAAATCCTATAATCCTTGTCATTGAATAATATTATACAGAAGAGGGATCATTCATAAAGCAGATCGCTGCACAAAAATACAAGAAATAGTATGTTAAAGCCATTTGTATACTTGTGATTTAAATTTTAACTTTTATTAACAAAACACTGAAGAACTACTTGGGATCAGTTTGATGCATTTTCCTCCACACAAACCCTACATGTACACAAACTGCATGTGATATGATATTTGATTAAACAGGGGGTATTTCAATAGAGTGTAATATGTCACAACTGTAAAAATTAAATATTTCTTTTGAAGTTAATCTAAAACTCCTGATATTGCTATTTCTGCAGAATATTTTTACTTCATAAATAATATTTGTACAGAACAAAACTTTTTCAGATACAAAATTCATTCATAAAATTCTGTTTAGACATTAAAATAATTATCAAATTGAAGGTGTTTCTTTTCTCAAACTAGCAAAGCATTTGAAATTGAAATAATTATCCCCATGCGGTGGCTTTGTCTTATTAATCATATGAATACCTCTTTAGAGGAGTTGATTTGTTTTGATTGCAATTTACACCTGTGATCTGCAGGACAATTATCTCTTATCAACAAGAGAGAACTTAATTAATGACACACATTCCTTTTCTATTTTTCTTGACACACATATTCTGTAGTGACCAAGCAACAAACTTAAGATTGAAATATAATAAATGTGTATTTCATAGCTGAATAGACCTAGGAAGGGTGGTGCAAAATTCAGATAAACATGAAAAAAAAATTTTTTTTTTTATAAAATTGTATATTAAATAGAAAGAAACTAGATTAACTTCAATCTGTAAAATTGAAGGATTGAGGATATGTTTTGCAATAAAAAAACGTAGTAAAATGGGGAGGTAGTGGTGACAGTATATCATTTGAATTCATGTACATGTGTATCATATAATAAAAGTAATTGAATGTAATTGAAAAAGTAATTGAAATTACATGGTATTTATTCAGTGTAATTAATTAAATTACAATTACATGTAATTGAAAAAATGTTCAATTACAAATTACTTGCAATTACTTCAAAAAATGTAATTAATTACAGCCAATTACAATTACTTTTTTCAATTACCCCATCCCAAGCACCTGCTACCTACCTGGCTTTTCTCACCTTCGGCTGTCTTCTACCCTTATGTTTAGTTTGCTCTAATTATTTGTTTTCATTGAACATCGTTGAAGGTCTATTATGTTTAAATAAATTAGATAATTTTGTCAATTCTCCAGAAGCCGTAGATGTTCGGGGAAAGAGACAGATAATATTGCACTTGCGATTGTTGATATGGATGCGTTTGATTACGTGCCAATTAATGGAAATGGTTGAATGCAAAGGTTTTAAAAATCTTATGTCCATCGTTGCACCAAACTACATCATACCGTCTCGTAATTTTACGAAATCTAGGATCGAAAAGTGTACGAAGATCGTAAATCCGCTCTGCTATAGGAGAACTTGATCAAGTTGATACTGTACATGTAGCTCTGACGACTTATCACTTGGATGTCAAACGCATTGATAGAGTTACATTACAATTCGGGAACAGATTATTTTTTTAAACAAAACCACTGTGAGCCATTTATGATTTTATTTCTCGTATTTATCTGATAAATAAATTGGACTAAAAAATGTTAGATTAAATTTCGTCGGACACAAAGTTATCATAATTGTTACAACACATTTACAGGTAAACTTCCCACCATCAGACCATGTGGTTTTATTTTAATGTTTTACAGTTATCAATTAACTTGTTCATATTTATTTAGACTTTTACCGAGTACCCGGGTACTCGATCGGAAAAACGTCCGAGTAACCGAGTATCAAAAATTGACCGATTTGACATCCCTAATCAAAACCCATTATAACTATGGATCGAATTGTCTTGTGAAAAAGTAAGAACCATATACCACACCTTCCCCCAGGGTTTTCAGATAAAAGTGTCAATTATTTTTCGGTGCCCCTTTCAAAAACGTTGCTACATGCATGAGGACTAGATTTTTCACGTGTTCTGTTTTTGTGTGATCGTAGGGCCCAAGGCACGGAAGCCTTTTTTTCTGAACTTCATTTTGTTTGATGAGGATGCATGAAATAAACTATATGTAACCCAACAAAACTGAGATGCTCCATACCGTCTGGGATGTCTTCGGCTCTATAAAATCATTAATGATTAATGTATACAAACTCAATGAGTGGTGCAAAGAGAAGGACCCTCCCTTTCTAGTAGTGTGTTAGTCTTAAATCTGACGAAACATTATAAAATATATTTATGATTATTTGTAAACGCAAAAATAGTCACCTGTTTGGAAGAAAAAGAAAAACTATGTACATGTACTTAATATATGATCACTTCAAATAATTTTAATTTGAATATTCCGTATATACAAACTAATGTGTACTTTACAAAGACATGAATGGGTCTAGCTGTCAATACATGTATATTTTCAACATGAGGGAGAAGCTTCATGTCCACTAAAAAAATTAATCCAAAGGCAAAAAAAAAAATCGTGTGTGTGTCACTGTGTGCAGGGGGGGGGGGGGGGGGATGATGGACAATTATTGTTGATAAGCTGTTTCAAATATTTATATGACTCTTCTACTTATTAACGAGAGGTCCATAACTTCTGAAAAGGGGTTCTGAGGTTATTTCTTGATTGTTTTACTTTATAAGATTCATTGGGGTCGATCTTGGCCTCTATAACCCGGCCCCAACCACCCTCAACAAACCGAATCTGCCATTAACACTACAGAAAAGGCTTTCAAAAAATTAATGTTAAACTCGAAAATTATTCAGGATTGTTGGGAGTTTTTACTAGAGTATACCCCTGTTAATACATTTTTATTTACAAACAGTCTTAAAGACAGACATGAAATTAATTTATAAACATTTCAGCAGCCTTTCTTTATATTTTTGCCTGGTAGGACGCATTCATCATCATCGTAGTCCTTTACACCCTGTGGTTTGTAGGGCAGCAACAAACTTCTTCCACTCTTGTCTATCCTGGGCCAGTCGCGTCAATAATTCTTAGGTCTGGTGCATTGCTGGACGCATTGGTGAAGTGATTAAATTGTTAAGCAACGAATAAACCTGCCACCCCTATAGCACCCCCTTTCGTCTTAATAATGCAACTTTGCATAATTGACAAATCACGAAAGTACATTTCACAAGTTGACAAATCGTACACAAGTCTACGAATTACACGAGAGCATCGGCAAAACTTGCATTTACATTTTTACACTTGTCAAATTACGCATGGATAGATACAACTAACAAATTGTGAAAAAAAAACAATTTAAAGATTATGAAATTAAGATTTACAATTTACAAATTCAGATTTACATGTGTACATTTTAAGAATTACAGAGTTGGAATTTTGAACCCGTTGGCTTTCCATAGAAGACAGGTGGTGTTCCAAAATATATTGACTGCAAATAATTTATGTTTAATATAAAACACTCAGTATAAAAATATGTAATAAACATTGCTTTTAATTGTGTGCAAAAATTTCCAACCCCTTCCCCCAAATTGTTGCCATTGAACCTTGCATGGTTAAACCTTGATAATGCTATGTCAGTATATGTTCATTTCCTTTTCAACAAATTTAGAAAATTCACTGCAGTCTTTCTGTGAAAACACTATGTTATTTGCATCTATTTCCCTCTAACAATCTCATCTACACATGTCTTTTTGCAAAGCTAAACAAAATGACATTAATTTATCTCTGAAGTAAAACAAGCACAACCTTCACATTTAACATGTCTAACTAATATATGTTGCATATTTTGACAACAGAAGAAAATCTGTTTTATTGAATTTGGGTTTCCATGGTATTTGACATGTATGGAATAACATAGTTAAAATGATTGAAATGCATTCTATTAAACAAGTTAAATACTTAGTATTGTTAGCTCGACTATAAAACTTTTATGATACACAATATGTCATATTGCTGCAGTATTTAATGCTTTGTTTATTTGACCTAAAAATATTTCTCTGTTTTTGTTTTTTTTCAATACAGGAATATAATTCCAGAGCTATATGTTTCCTGCTTGCCAGGGTCAGCTGAGAACTGGAAGTCATGAACAGGAAGACTGAAATCATGCCGTGTCAAACCGACTTGCTCATGGAAGGAGAAAACAGCTGACTGAGGGGAACACCTCTGTTTATTCCCCCAACAGGACCCTGGGAGTTATAACAAATTGTAACAGATAGCATGTTCATGAATTCAATGCTGCTTTATGTAAGTACATTAAGTGGTGCATGTATACTCTGTTGTATTCTGTTGATGCATTTGTTTTCATTGTATTGTTATTTTAATATTGTCAGTATATCATTGCATGAGCACTTCCTCCCAGTTTTATCCTGAGATGGAGGAAATTTCAGGAATAGTGTTCATTGTTAAAAAATACATGAAATATTTGTAATTTTATGTTCCTTGTGTCAAATTTTATTCTGCTCACATTTCCATGAAAGGTATGTGTACATAATATGCACGCAGATATACTATAAGATTTTACATTTCACTTTCAACCCAAGGGCCCAGTTTGTTGTGATTTGAGAGATTCACACCTTGTCATTGCAACTCATTCTACATTTTGATTTGTTTTGGAGATTAATAAGTCATGTAACTGATGCATAGTAAAGTTTTTATATATACATATCGTAAGATGGGATGAATTATGTATTGGAATTCATTCCTGTCCATCTGTAAGTCTGTTTGTCTGTTAGCTTTTTTCATGTCTGCATGGTTTGTAAGGCCATTCCAAGTTTTTTCTCTGATTAGCATTCACATATTTTTTTTTCAAAAACCTACCTACATGTTCAATTTTGCAAATAACATAGAAGCCAAAAAATAAAACAGACTTAATACTCATAAAATGACATTCATAGGATTTTATTTCTTAAATATATCTTCCTTGTTGAAAGGTGTATTCCTTAACAAAATCAAGGCATTGACTGCTTATAATATACCTAATATGAAATAATGTGGACAGGTCAATGCATTCAATGGAGAAAAAGACAGAATTCATAGGTTTTGACAAAACTTTCATTTCAGGACTCCTGATTTTGTTTTCTCTTTTGATGTTTGATGTCAGAAACTAGGGTGAACATGGATGCTAAACAAAAAAAAACATGGAATCATTTTACCGGTAATTCAAGGGGGCAATGTTCATGTATAAGCATATTTTTGTTGGTTCTTTCGGGACATACATATTTTGGTGGGTAACTTGTGTACACTGAAGATTCAATATATGAATATGTTAACAAAATAAATGTAAATGTAAAATTTTTGATTTTTAAAGGGTGACCCGCAAAATTCATGAAATTGGGCCCCTCAAGAATTGATGGTTCCACAATATTATAAGGTCTAAAATAATCAAAGTTTATATTCTAAGCTGATGCATCTTAATATGAGGTCGTCACACATTAAAGGATGTTGCTCAGACCTTTAAGGTGATATGGTCAATAGACATATGAGGCCAAGCCAAAATATGGAAAAATCTTGACTACTGTAGATCACTAAATCTTTTATTGACTCTTTATTGAAAAATTTTCACAAATTGTTGTTTTTCCTCTATAAAATTGTAAGAATACTTTTAAATCATGAAATTTTCACATGGTAGCATAACTGAATGCATAAAACATGATTTAAAAAAACATTAACATTTTTCATGTAAATAAAAAAACAATAATGTTTTTCCCAATAAATGTAAGGGTATTACAATAGTTATATTTAAAAATGTTAAAGAAAATGCATAATTTTTTTATGATGTACATGTACTTCTTTTAAATTTTTAGAATACTGTGAAAAAAAGTAATGATGAAAATGGTGATTGGATTGATTCTGACAATGGTAAGTTTTTTTTCTTAAATATTGGATTGAGCTTGATAATAGATTTTTAATGCCAACGGAATCAAAGATTTTGGAACATATATTTTTTGCCCTGTCCATCTGTCTGTTGGTTTGTTTATCCACAAAAACTTCTACCTTGCCCATAACTTTTTGATTAATTGGAAATTGGAACTATGGCTTTCATATTCCTCAAGTATACCTTGTGACAAGAAATTTCTTTGGATACTAACATAATTGACCAATTGACCTTGAACATTGAAACTTTTACCTTCATGACCTATGCTGTCATATGGGGGCATCAATGTTTTGTAAACACATCTTGTTTTTCTTCATTTGAAGGTGATATATTTGATTTTTTTAGCTCACCTGAGCCGAAGGCTCGGGTTAAGGTTGAGTTTTTTGGATCACATTTTGTCATTTTAAGTCTTCTATGTCTATATTGATTAGACCGCTGGAAACTTTTCACATTGTGTTTTATTGTACCAGTCAAAGTTTCAGATGCCAAACTTGCCACAAAGTATCCTTGGGTTAATGTTTTGGAGCATTAACATTTTTGGTGCAATTTTGGTGTAGCCCTCATTCAAGGGGACTATAAGCCCTATGGGAATTAATGAAAATTTAATGGTATGTTTTAAAAATCTTCTTCTAAAGAACCACTGTTCCAGGAAAGATTAAAGTTTTTGGGCAAGTTTCATTTCCAAGTAACTATAGTGTAGTTCAAGTTTGTTCAACATCAAGACCCCCAGGGATTGCTTGGGATGCCACAATGGCTGACCTAAAGTTTTACATAGAAATATATAGTAAAATTATTTAAAAATCTTCTTCTCAAGAATAACAAAGCCATAATTGATCATATTTATATGGAAGCATTGTCATGTAGTGTAGATTCAAATTTGTTCAAATGATGACCCCCAGGGGTCTGCCTACAATTTTCCAAAGTTTAACATAGAAAGGTTAAAAATTCTTTAAAAATCTTCTTCCAAGAATAGCAGAGCTATAAGATCATATTTACCAAATGGCAAGCATACTTCAGGTAGTGTAGATTCAAATTTTTTCAAATCATGACCCCAGGGCATGCGGATGCACAATCTGACCTAAAGTTTTACATAGAAATATATAGGAAAATTCTTTAAAAATCTTTGCAAGTAACTAGCAAAGCCATAATTTACCAAATTTATATGGAATACATCGTCAGGAGTGCACATACCAAGTTTGTTCTGAATCATGACCCATTTTCTGGTTGATGGCAGGTAAAATGGCCAACCAAAGTTTAACATAGAAATATGTAGGAAAATTCTTTAAAAATCTTCTTCTCAAGAATAACAAAGCCATAATTGATCATATTTATGTGGAAGCATGAAAATGTTAGTTTTAGATTCAAGTTTGTTCCAAAACTATGACCCCTATAGGCAAACCACAGTGGCCGATAAAGTTTAACATGAAATATGTAGGAAAATTCTTCAAAAATCTTCTTCTCAAGAAAAGCAAAGCCATAATTGATCATATTATAAAAAGCATATAAGGTATATAACAGTTTGTATAAACCAAACTTGCACAAGGCCCCGGGGGATAGAAAACTCTCAAATTTGCTTCAGATGCCAAAGTTTTACATAGACATAGGAAAATAGTTTAAAAATCTATGCAAAGTATCCCAACAAAATAGCAAAACCATGATTGGTCATGGTACACTTTTTTTGGATTGTAAACTTTTCCTTAATAAACCAATTTCTGAGGTTTTCCTGCCACAGTCTCTGATTACCGATGTGGCCCATTTTAAGGTGTTATATTTGAATTTTTTAAAGAAAATGCATTTGACCATTTATGTTCAATACTACATAGTTATGTATTTTATTATTATTAAAGGTTTTAATGGTAGAAGCAGATCCCAGAGTAAAGCGTTACCAAGTGGTTAAAGGCGAGACTGGAAGATAGTAAGTCTTAATTTGTCTTTGAGATGGTCAATAAACTCTTTAATCTAGATAAAAAATCAGTTGTTCATTTTGCTAAATGTTGAATCACTTGTTCAGTTTTTGAGATGTTCTGTTTCTGAAGTTGTAAATCACTGGTTCAGACTGTGAGATGTTCAGTCCTAAGATTGTAAATCACTGGTTCAGATTGTGAGATGTTCAGTGTATGAGATGGTTTATCAGTTATCCATCCTGTTTGAGGGCAAGTCAGTTCTGAGATTGTAAATCAATGGTTCAGACTGTGAGATGTTCAGTCCTAAGATTGTAAATCACTGGTTCAGATTGTGAGATGTTCAGTGTATGAGATGGTTTATCAGTTATCCATCCTGTTTGAGGGCGAGTCAGTTCTGAGATTGTAAATCAATGGTTCAGATTGTGAGATGTTCAGTCCTAAGATTGTAAATCACTGGTTTAGATTGTGAGATGTTCAGTGTATGAGATGGTTTATCAGTTATCCATCCTGTTTGAGGGCGAGTCAGTTCTGAGATTGTAAATCAATGGTTCAGATTGTGAGATGTTCAGTCCTAAGATTGTAAATCACTGGTTCAGATTGTGAGATGTTCAGTGTATGAGATGGTTTATCAGTTATCCATCCTGTTTGAGGGCGAGTCAGTTCTGAGATTGTAAATCAATGGTTCAGACTGTGAGATGTTCAGTCCTAAGATTGTAAATCACTGGTTCAGATTGTGAGATGTTCAGTGTATGAGATGGTTTATCAGTTAATATCCATCCTGTTTGAGGGCGAGTCAGTTCTGAGATTGTAAATCAATGGTTCAGACTGTGAGATGTTCAGTCCTAAGATTGTAAATCACTGGTTCAGATTGTGAGATGTTCAGTGTATGAGATGGTTTATCAGTTATCCATCCTGTTTGAGGGCGAGTCAGTTCTGAGATTGTAAATCAATGGTTCAGATTGTGAGATGTTCAGTCCTAAGATTGTAAATCACTGGCTCAGATTGTGAGATGTTTAGTGTATGAGATTGTAAATCACTGGTTCAGATTGTGAGATGTTCAGTGTATGAGATTGTAAATCACTGGTTCAGATTGTGAGATATTCTGTTTCTGAGATTGTAATTCTCTGGTTCAGATTGTGAGATGTTCAGTGTGTGAGATTGTAAATCGCTGGTTCAGATTGTGAGATGTTCTGTTTCTGAAATTGTAAATTGCTGGTTCAGTTTTTGAGATGTTCTCTTTCTGAGATTGTAAATCACTGGTTCAGATTGTGAGATGTTCAGTGTATGAGATGGTTTATCAGTTATCCATCCTGTTTGATGGTGATTCAGTCCTGATAGTGGGATATTAGAGATGTCATTGTGTGTTTTGTTTTGATCAAGTTATTCCATAGTTGTGTATTATGCTTATTTTTCAAACCAGAAGTCTCTGTCGAGACTGAAGCTCTACTGGTTTGTACCTATAACAAATGAAGACAAAAGTAGTAGTTGGGACTTAAAACTTTACAATAGAATAATGATGCTTGATTAAATCTCTTTATGTTCTTAGTGTAGATACTGAAATACATTTGTTTTTTTTCACATCAGAGAATAAATTATTTGACAAAAGACAAGAAGTCTCTTTCGAGACTGAAGCTCTACTGGTTTGTATTTATAACAAATGAAGACAAAAGTGGCAGTTGGGACTTGAAACTTTACAACAGCAATAAATAGAATAATGATGCTTGATTGAGCTCTTTTTGTGGCAAGATACTGCAATAAGACTACAGCTGTAGGAGTAGCTTTAAATAAACTTTTAGAGTATTTTCAATTTTAGTAACCATGGCAACATCATTCCTCGAAATCAAAAATCGATAAACAGAATTGTGTATCTTAGTGTAGTCTACTCGTGTGCCAAGTTATATTGAAATCAGACCAAAACTGTAGGAGATGTAGCATATTGAAAGCATTTCAGAGAAATTTCTATTTTTAGAAACAAAGGCAACACCATTCATTGAAATCAAAAATTGATCCACAAAATTATGTATCTTAGTGTAGTCTACTTGTGTGCCAAGTTATATTGAAATCAGACCAAAACTGTAGGAGGTGTAGCATTTTGAAAGCATTTCAGAGAAATTTCTATTTTTAGAAACAAAGGCAACACCGTTCATCAAAATCAAAAATCGATACACAGAATTATATATCTTAGTGTAGTCTACTTGTGTGCCAAGTTATATTGAAATCAGACCAAAACTGTAGGAGGAGTTACATTTTAATAACCATTCTCTGTAACCACTTAAACTTCGTTGCCACGCATGGTCACCAATTTTGATGAAACTTCACCCATGCTTAGTACTTGACACCAGAAACAAATATCAAACAAAATTTCGTTGCTAAGTGTCTCGGTTGCTATGGCAACAGCCGGAAAAGTTTGAAAAACTAGAAAAAGCAAACAAACCATTCTCACAAAAACATGACACCTTGATGTTACTTATACTGTAAAGAAACTGTTTAGAATACATCTCTAAGTAAGTGGTAACCAAGGGTACATTTAGAATACATTTAAAATGCTGATATATGCTGAAAAACACTCCATATTCACTAATGGTAGGTGTTACATGCTCAAACTCAATCAACGACTTAAGAAAAACAATGAAAATGTTTGACCTTAAGTACATAAGTATAAGCAATATTATTCTATAAATAACTTTAATGGTTGCCATGGTAACATAGTGTAACCATGCAAAACCAGTAACTAAGATTGGGTTAATGCTACTGTCTTGAGGAAAAACTTGAAAATTTAAGACTGGCAAATATACATCCTTAGGACCTTGCAACACCAAAACCATAAGAAATATTGGGTATAATTGCTACTTTGCAGTGTTACCAAGGAAACAAAGTACCAGTGCTTAAAAGTGAATTATTATTTGCTGCATTAAGAATCAAATTGCCATATAATCAAGAAACAAATTAAAGGACTCAGCTTGAATAGTACTTATCTGTTAGAACTGAAGTTGAATATCATATATTGATAAAACTTGACGAAGAAAACAACACTGTTGCTATGGTTACCAAGAAGGGAAAATGTTCGATTTTGTGAACTTTATATCAATATTAAACCCTGTGTGCCAGCTTCTTGCATCCAGTTAGAGATTGGATGATAGTCAAAATTAAAAGTCAGGTCAGCTGTTTATAAATATCAATCATAAAAGTTTTGGGAATCTACATTTGAGGGTACGTATCCAAGGTAACAAAATATTTTTCAGATTTTTAAGCATATTTTTTCTGCTTATTTCCATAGCAATGCTCTATTTAAAGAATCCGATCTAAATTTTTTTAAATGGGAAAATAAGGACCACACCAACATCTTTAAAAATTGATCATTAGTTATGAGGAAATGTGCTTTCTTAAAAGATAGGATCAGATTTAAACATACAGAGTGTAAATTTGAAGGCTCTCTGTTCTATAAAAACCTTGGCAACCATTGCCAACCAAACTGAAATATCATAATTTGTTCTTGGTATATGTTTCAAGGCTCTTTTCTCTATTATTTGATCACATTTCATCCTATAATTGCATTTTGTTTTTACGTGTATGACTTTATAAAATTCAATGAATATTTTTTTTACTTTTTAATAATTTGTTACCATAGTTACGTATGTAATAGTTGATTTACCAAACCTGTTTATCATGCATTTGAGGCAACAGGCCTTCAACTTTTGGAAACAGTCAATGCCAATTGTTTGCTTTGCCGCAAATGTTAATTATTGGGCTCTAAACATGGTAAAAAATGTCATTTTTTAAACTTTTAGACATGTTGCCATGGTAACTATAACACATAGCAACCAATTTTTGCCTGATTTTAGTTAAGGGTATCAAAGACTTTTATCATAGAGAGTTTGGAGAAATTCTGAGACTATGCGTGCCACAGCTCCTATATAAAATTTCAAGTCATTACAGAGAATGGCTCTTAAAAGTATTTCAGAGAAATTTCTATTTTTAGTAACAAAGGCAACACCGCTCATCGAAATCGAATATCGATGCACAGAATTATGTATCTTAGTGTAGTCTACTTGTGTGCCAAGTTATATTGAAATCAGACCAAAACTGTAGGAGGTGTAGCATTTTGAAAAAATTGTTTACAGACAGACAGACGGACGGATGCCGGACGCATTACTATCGCATAAGCTCTTCTGGTCTCTGACCAGTAGAGCTTAAAATGACACCTACCGTAAATCTGGAAATTTTTGCTGTAGATAAATTTTTAGCAAATTTGCGAGTTCATTGCATTCGCAAAAATATTTTTCTTAAAAATTAATTACCAATAAGAAAATTTAAACAAAGCAGTGGTAATTCGCAAAATTTTGAAACGTAAAAATTAATCGACACCATTTTGACCCGAATTCGCAAAATAAAATCGACGTAAAAATTTCCAGATTTACGGTATAGAGATAAAACAGAAGGAGAAAAAAATTAATTACATACTTGACATTTACTTCACTCTAACAGATTTGTTTTAGATTCTGAGTCTGACATTTCTAGGATGAATGAACAGGTTCAAGTTTTTGGAGCTGGTTCATTCTAAAGAATTATAATTAAGCCCTATGTTAACCAAACTTACATGGATGATATATCTAAGGGTTGGTGCACACTACTAGACTTGTGTTGAATGTTGACTCTGGCTTTTGCATTCTGAATGAGTGACCTTATTCAAGTTTTTGGAGCTGGTTCATTCTAAAGTAACTAGAAGCCCTATGTTGACCAAACTTGCATTGATGATACATCTAAGGATGTACACTACTTGATTCGCTTTGGATGCTGGATCTTACATACATTTTCTGAATAAGTGACCAGGATAACTTTTTTGGAGCAGTTTCATTCAAAAGTGACTATAAGCCTTAGGATAACCATTTTTTTCATTGAAGATGCATTTATTGATGCGCAGTACTTGAATGAAGCATCAGAGGATTTACTCTTCTAGAGTTTCTTCAGATGCTGGATTTGAACTACACTTTTCTGATAAGTGATCAGGTAAAAATGTTTGGAGCAGATTCATTTCAATGTAATTCAAGCACTATTCCTATACCAACGGCATGGACAAAGCATCAAGGGAAAAATCCTTCATACTTGCTTCAGATGCTGAATTGGATCCTCATTTCTATTGCTCTCCGTTTTTGTCCGTTGTCGTGTGTTAACGTTTGAACATTTTCAGTTTCTTCTCTGAAACCGCTGAACCAATTTCAACCAATTTTGGCATATAGCATTTGTAGGTGAAGGGGAACAAAATTGTGAATTTCATGGTCCCTGCTCCACTGGGGCCTGGGGGGGGGGCCAAAACCACTAAATTTAGTGCAATCTTTAAAAATCTTCTTCTTTACTCCTGGACATCAAGCAGTCAAACTTTTGGTATGATTGTAATCAGCATTGAGTCGTCCTCCAAAATTGTGAAATTCATGGCCCCAGGGTCAGGGGTTCTAGTGCTAGGGTGGGGCTTATATAGATTATATCATGAAAATGCATAAATTCTTTGAAATTCTTCTTCTATGCTCCTGGGCATTAAATAAACTCACCAAGTGCATTGTTAAGTTGAAAATGATTGCCTCTTCCAAAATTGTGAGTTTCATGGCCCCAGGGTCAGGGGTTCTAGTGGCAGGGCGGGGCTTTATAGTTTATACAGTGAAATTGCATAAATTCTTTGAAATTCTTCTTCTCTGTTTGTGGGAATTAAATAAACTAACCAAGTGCATAGTTATGTTGAATAAGGCTGCCTCTTCCAAAATTGTGAATATCATGGCCCCAGGGTCAGGAGTTTTAGTGCTAGGGCAGGGCTATAAAGATTATATAGTGAAAATGAATTATTTTTTTGAAAATTATCTTCTCTGCTCCTGAGTATGAAATAAAGTAAACAAGTACATAGTTATGTTGAAGAAGGCTGTCTCTTCCAAAATTGTGAATTTCATTGCCCCTGGGTTGGGGGTTCTGGCGTTAGGAAGGGACTCTTTTGATTATATAGTGAAAATGCATAAATTCTTAAAAAATCTTCTTTTCTGCACCAGGGTATTAAACCAATGTACTATGTCGGGGTCGATTACTTTCAAAAGTAATTGACTGAACGACAATTATTTTGGATTTTAAAAGTAATCGATTACAAGCTGATTACAGACTTTTTTAAAGTAATCAATTACATCTGATTACTTTCCCATCATGTAATCATGATTACTTATGATTACTTTAGATTACATTAAGTTTTTTTTTCAATGTTTAAGAACAACGACATGTTTTTTTTTCTTCTTTTTTAGCTTTTCTGATCAAAATTTGTCCGTTGTCTGTCATTGTTGTAGTCGTTGTTGTCATCATCGTTGTCGTCGTCGTTAACTTTTCACATTTTCATCTTCATCTCAAGAACCACTAGGCCAATTTCAACCAAACTTACCACAAAGTACAGTAAAACTCGGTTATAGCGAAGTCCTTGGGACCTGTGAATTTAATTTGCTATATCTTTAATTCATTATATCCGTATAACGAATTTGTGTAACCGTTATAGCGAATTCACAATATGCATGTTTTCCTTGAAATATTACTACCAAATATGTCAGGGAAGCAAATATTACAAAACATATCTTAGATAACTAAAGTTTTATTATGAATTGAATTTTAGATACAAATGCTAAAAAGGAAATAAAGTCAGTTCAATTTATCACTTTTTTATAATCTTTGAAAGTTCGTTATAAAAGATGTAAATTTTATTATATTTAACCTCAACGGGACTCAAAATCAGTTCGCTATATCCGTAAATTCGTTATATCAGAGTTCGTTATAACCGTAAATTTTTATAAAGATTTGTTAAGAATTTTGCCGGGGACCCAGAAAAACTTCGCTATGTCCGTGAATTCGCTATATCCGTGTTCGTACTAAACGAGTTTTACTGTATCATTGGGTAAAGGGGATTCAAGTTTGTTCAAATGAAGGGCCACCTTCTCTTCCAAGGGGAGATAATCATGAATTAGTGAAAAATTAATGGCATCTTTTAAAAATCTTCTTCTCAAGAACCACTAAGCCAGGAAAGATGAAACTCATGTGGAATCATCCTCTGGTAGTATTGATTCAAATTTATTCAAATCATAACCCCCGGGGGTAGGGTGGGGCCACAATGGGGTATCAAAATTCAATGTAAGAATACATAGGAAAAATCTTTAAAAATCTTCTTCTCCAGAACCACTAGGCCAGGAAAGATGAAACTCGTGGAATCATCCTCAGGTAGTGAAGATTCAAATTTGTTCAAATCATGACCCCCGGGGGTAGGGTGGGGCCACAATGGGGTATCAAAATTCAACATAGGAATACATAGGAAAAATCTTTAAAAATCTTCTTCTCAAGAATCACTTGGCCAGGAAAGATGAAACTCATGCAGAAGCATCTTATGAAAGGGAAGCTTTAATTTTGTTTGTGACCCCTTGGGCAAGGGTGTGGCCACAATGGGTGATCAAGGTTTTAGATAGGAATGCATGGTAAAAATCATTAAAATTCTTCAGAAAAACCATCGTGATGATTGATCATCAATATATAAGCATAAAAAAGGTAATGCATATTTGAAATTCAGGAGAACAGAGGAGCCATAAAGTGGTCAAATGAATACAAAGGCTATATCAATAAAAATTTTCATCTTATAAACAACAAAACCATAATGTGTCATAAAAGCATTCTAAGGAATTGTAGATTTAAGTTTGTTTAAATACCCCCCTCCCCAGAACCCATTTTTATAATATATTTAAACTTTTCAATACTGAACTATTTTTTGCTTTTACCTAGTAAGTTGCTCAGGTGAGTGATGTGGCCCCTGGGCCTCTTGTCTTGATGTGTGTTTAATTAAAATATTTAAAACAAGTTTATTCCTGAATACCCATAACTGAAAGCCCTATCAGACCAACATTGCATAAGTGTGTTGTGTTGAGGGATGCTTGCACACAGATAGATTATTAGCTTAGTGTGGGTCACAGAGCTGAGCTCTGTTATGTTTGATTACCGATGTTTAGATGTGATTAGATATGTTGTTCTTGCTTTTAGTATTCTTGTAACAAAGCAACATAAGTAGTGTGCATGATAAAGGTGGTATGCTTTAGAGAGTATGTTGAAATCAAACTCTGTTGTCTGTTGAGGCTCGTGGTTCTGCTGTTTTTTTTGTATAATCTCTACTTCCTCATTTTAAATGCATATTAGGTCACAGAGAAAAGTTCTTGCATTGTTTGCTAATTAATTGTTCCTAGTGTTGATTTCCTTTTTCCAGTATTAAAAAGAGTTATAGGAATGAAAGCATTGTAAACATATACACAGGGTAATGGTCGGTTCGATAATGCCATGGACTTAAACTTTCCAGCATGATACTGGTAGTTTTTTTCTGAATGTTTACTCACAGATTTTTAAAGAACAATTATCAATTATCTATAAATTACTAAGAGTTGAAAGAAATGAAATGAAACACATTTTCTGGATGAAACAGGGAATAGCCAATTTATATGACATTGCTCAATATACCTATTTATTATTATATGAACAACATTTACTTGATTGTTGTAATTTGTTTGAAATGCTCTTTGATAAGAATGCCAAATTTTTTAAAAACTTGTCCAAAAAGGAGTCAAATAAAATATAAAGGAGTAAGTTAAAAGATGATTGCAATTTAATTTTTAGCATCGGAAGGACTAATCCCGGAGACCCATTTATTTGTCACTATTACGTTCGTGGGAGAAAGTATGAAATCTCTGATCATTGTGAGGGTCAGAATAGACAGGGAATCATTGTGGACGGGGTAAAAATGTATCCATGGTCATATCCAGGCACAGGCTCATATCCAAGTAAGTGTACATATAGATATTACTGTTACAGGTAAAGCAAGACTCACAGTGTGTTCATATTACTTAATCAATTTTTCTCCCCCCCCCCCCCCCCCCCTTATACTCTATCAATCTTAATATTGAATACTTTACATTAGGTTAATCTTTGACTATTTTAATTAATTCTTAATCCATCTTTGATAAAATGCATACATACAGGTATGGTGTATGTCTTTTTAGCTTGTGGTTCGCTGCCTAACATAAGTAACGGTTACTGGGAATGTCCCATCGATGTGTGGTCTGTGTCAGTGGAGGTGTATGCTGTGTGTGCCGCCAAGTGTTTACGTGGATACCAGCTGGAGGGGGATGTTGTTGTACGTTGTCCAGAGTCTTTGACGTGGAACATCTTTACTTCTCCAAAGTGCACTCCTAAGAAAGGTTAGATCTTTTAAAAATAGATTAAAATCCTTTATTATATCCCCCACAAACAAAGTTTGGGGGGGTATATAGGAATCACCTTGTTCGTCAGTCCATCTGTCTAGCTGTCCGTCTGTCTGTGCAAACGTGTCCGGTCCATATCTTTCTTATGGAGGGACATTAGAATCTACTACTCCACACAAAGATTGCCCATGACCTAAGGGTGTGTCATGACCTTGACCCAAGGTCATTTGGGGAAGTTCAAGGTCACTGGAAGAAAAAGTTCATAATTCGTGTCCAGTCCATATCTTTTTTATGGATAAACTTGGTAGTTCTCATTTCACACAAAGATTGCCCATGACCCAAGGGTATGTCATGACCTTGACCAAAGGTCATTTGGGGAACTTCAAGGTCACTAGAAGAAAAAGTTCATAATTCGTGTCCGGTCCATATCTTTCTTATGGATAAACTTGGTAGGTTCTCATTTCACACAAAGATTGCCCATGACCCAAGGGTGTGTCATGACCTTGACCCAAGGTCATTTGGTGAACTTCAAGGTCACTGGAAGAAAAAGTTCATAATTCGTGTCCGGTCCATATCTTTTTTATGGATAAACTTGGAAGGTTCTCATTTCACACAAAGATTGCCCATGACCCAAGGGTATGTCATGACCTTGACCCAAGGTCATTTGGGGAATTTCAAGGTCACTGGAAGAAAAATTTCATAATTCATGTGTGATACATATCTTTATTATGGAAAACCTTGCCTCTGAAAAAACCCAGCGGGGGTATTTTGTCCCGTTTGGACAGTTCTAGTTTAATGTCAAAGGTAAGAATTTAAACAGAAACTAATTTCTTCTCATATCAAACATGGCCAAAATTTGCCAACATTATGCAAGTTAAATATATAACATTTTATATCAACAGTAAATCAAATTTGTTGAAGTTATCAATTATTATTTTATTCCAGCCCAAAAGTATCATGAATCCACATACATGTATCAGTAAGATAGAACTAAATCATGTGTGGTCCTCTTATTTTCATATATTTTTTTTAGGATGAATGTATAATTTATTTTACAAAGTGGTCTCTTCCACAGACCCACCTGGGAGGCCTGAACAAGTTCATGTTCAAGTCGTGAACACCAGTGCTGTAAATGTCAGCTGGACTTCACCAGTCAAGGACACATCTATCATTGGTTACACTGTTCACATCCAGTGTGGTGATAACATTCTAACTCAGAACTCCACAAAAAATTCACTCATCATATCTAACTTAGAGGTGAAGAAGAATTACACCATCACTCTCACTGCATTTAACCAGTACAGGGCTAGTCAGCAAGGTGAACCAGCTTATGTAGAATTACCAGGTTTGTATTTATTGTTCAGAAATTAATCAATTGGCTGAACTTGTGAGTATTACAATCACTACCCTTTGAGATTCAAAGGGGGAACAAACTAGATTCTTCAATAATATAGTTATACCCCTGCTTAGAAGGAGAGGGGGCTATACTGTTTAACCCTTGTTTGTCTGTATCGGTGTTTGTCAACAGTAATTAAAATTTCATTATTTATATTGACTTATCCTGAGGCAGTGTAGATTCAAGATTGTTCAAATCATGTCCCCAAGGGGTAGGGCAGGGTAGAAAAAAAACTTTAGAAATCTTCTTTTTAAGAACCACTGGGCCAGAAAAGCTGAAACTTACGTGGAAGCATCTTAGGGTATTGTAGAATCTAAATTGTTCTAATCTTGACCCTTTGGGATTCGGCAAGGTCAAGATAGGTATTACAAAGGGAAATCTGTTAGATAACAGAATGGCCAAAGTTACTCAGGTGAGTAATGTGGCCCATAGGCCTCTTGTTGTTCTAATCTGTTGTCAACTTCCTGTTTATCCATGCATCTGTACATACCATACATAACAAATTTTTGTCTCAGTTTTCCCAGCAACTTAGTCATTGCAGATGCTTGAAGTTTTACACATACTTAATTAATTGAGGCATACAATATGATGGAATAAAATTTTG